TTAACCCTTCACATTCCAACAGAAACTGAATAGGCAGATTCAAAGGATTTATTTCTTTGGAAATTTTATTTTAAATACAATTAAATCAAGTTATTTTGTTAAAACTACTGAAAAATATAACTAAAAAAAAATATTTTTGATATATATATATTTGTTAATGTTTTTAAATATTATTTTGTAGAATATCTTAGGCCCTCAGAAAGGGCCTAGAGGGCCCTGACGGCTCGCCACTGCACTTGATGCTGTTTCAGAGATAAAGCAAGTTGATAATGGAGTTTATGTCTTTTATCATTATCTGTCCCGATTGACACAAAAAGAAAGTGATGTCTAAATCTTTATTTAATACTATTCGTAGCCATGTCGGCAGCACCAGTGTGGCAGAGATGTTGTTCTGTTGGTCCACTACTTAAACCAGGGATCCTCCGACTTTTCTTCTAGCGCCACCAATAGGTAAACATTTCCATCTATCAAGTACAATATCTCAACATATACTTGATGAATTGGCACAGAACATTCATGATTCCTGGTCCCAGTCTTAACAACTATTGGATTGTATGCCATGAAATGTGGTCTAAATACTCCATTCATCCTCACGGTTAACAAATGATATTAGGTCAACATAACTTGATTGTTTTTTTTTACAACAAACTATTTATATTTCTGACACTCTGTACCTGTGTTTAATGGCAGTTTTCTAACATCAGCAGGCTAACGAACAAAACTAAATGTGCTTACATAGTAACATTACACCTGCTCAACTTCAATGTGATAGCATTTTCATTTTGAGCCTGTTAGCATGCTGACGTTAGCTTTTAGCTCAAAGCACAGCTGTGCCTAAGAACATCCTCTCAAAGCTCCTAGCGTGGCTGTAACCCTTTTATTGTGCATATGTGTAAGTTGCTACTAGAAAATGTAACTTTTTGAAATTGTTAGTTCTTTTGCTTGTTGGTGTGTTTGTCTGATTGTCAGCAGGATTACACAAAAACTAATGGCAAAGTGAAAGGCATTGGCCAAGGGAGAACCTATTACATTTTGAAGCAGATCCGAATCAAAAGGCGGACACACCCATAATTAATCACTTATTGAAATGGCCTTGGCAGAGGTCCGCAGTCTCGAGTGCCATTATAGGTCTTATTCTTGCTTTTCTTGTATCTGCACACAGGCTGTGTAGCTGGGAAATATAAAGGCCTTTACGGGAAGTCTTTTTAGAACAATTTATTTCATTTGCTGATTTGCAACTTCCACAGAGCGAGCTATTCAAACACAGAAAACATTTGGCCTGCTCTGTTTTATTGTTATCTCATCTGAGTGCCATGCTCTGCTTACTGTCAAACATCAGCAGAGAATAATAGGACAGAAGTGTTTGATACAAAAAGTTACCTTCTAAACATGGCATAAGAAGCCATATATAGCATGCCCTGCAAAAATGATTACTGGAAGCGTAGGCAAAGACAGTAAATGGCCTTTGATTTTTTCCTTTGAGGATAAAATTAAAGAAAACTCAATAGTGAAACTGATTTGATCAATACCCTTTTAGTGTGCCATTTACCAAGCCCTGCTCTCCTCAGCATTTTGCTTCTCCATCCTCCACTTATCAAGACAGACTATATTTAGGTTGTTGATCTCTAGAGCGCCTGTCTGGGCAGAGAACCCCAAGTTGTGCTGTCCTGCTCAATGTTGTTCTTTTTTTACCCTGACAGGCTCTCAGCAGTAGGTCTTCATCTTTGGGGTCTGTGTGATGCTGCAGATTCACCGTGTGTCCTCACATGAACACAACTGTTTAAAAAAAAAAAACTGGAAGCAATGTTACAAAAACTGCACAGAGCGGCCATGATGACTCATCAACATCACATTTCCATAGTAATGGTTTTGTCTCCTCTTTTGCAGTGGCTCGTGCACAGGAGACACACCACCACTCCTCAGAGAAGCCCCTGATTCAGTGCTACAAGTGCGGAGAGCCATGTAAGGGCGAGGTGCTGCGGGTGCAGAACAAGCACTTCCACCTAAAGTGCTTCACCTGTAAAGGTACGGCCATTGTAAACGGTGTTGAATGGGAAGTATTTACTGGTTTTGATTTGGCTCAGCTTTACTCAATGTGAGACAACCCTGATGTTAAAATCAAAAAGACTGTTCTTTAGTAACTAAGTGTGATTTTCTTTTTTAAAGGAGTCATCAGACAGCTTATTTCTGTCCTAAATTGGAAATAATTATGTGGGGGTTGTTGGAAAATTGGCAGCTAAGGTGTGAAGTTTTATTATTCAGCTAGTTTCATACTGTTAAAGTAGGAGGACATTTGCCTCTTTCCATTCACTACATACAGTAAATATAGTTAATTTTTGCTAAATCTGATGCTCCCGTTTGCAAAAGGTATGGAAGAGTCATAATGTGTAATGGTTCCTTATACTGAAAAAACTCAAACATTGACTTAAATTAAATGTATTATGTCAACAGATTATAACTGTATTAGGTTAGTTGAACGTGATAATAATACGTTTTAAATATTAAGTCCAACTGAATAGTATTGCTTTCAACCAACCTAACACAGTTTGTTGACATAATAAGTCAACGTTTCAGTTTTTTCAAAACAAAATACCAAAGCGCAACGGAAATAGTTTTTTTCCCGAGCTGTCCCAAAAAGCATCCAAATCACACCAAGTTGGATAGGAGCTGTCCCTAAAGGCTACACTGTCCTTCCCATCTTCTTCTAATGAAGGGGGTACGGTACACGGTGGTATGACTCATCTCCACTTCTCAGACACTTGTACTTTAATTAAAGTATCATCAAGACTGTTCTGACTAGTGACAGTGCAAATCCTTCGTTTATCCCAATTACTGATGGATCTCTGATTATGATGAAACCATCAAGCAGCTTCAGCCTTCTAGGCTTTTTGGATCTGTGACAGGAGCACTGTTATAGAGGTAGAGTAGATCACCAAGGCCACAGGATCACACAAGCAAACGCTAAGATTAAGACCTATATCTGTCCTTTACAAGTGGATATACATGCCTAGGTGGTGTGGAGTGTATGTGTGTGTTTGTGCACACAAGTCAGTGGTTGCAAAGAATACACAAGAACTGTTTCCAGACACGCCATGCTAATCCTTGTTCTAAATGTATATGTGCTGATGTGATTCTCCAACTTGTAAGACTAATTATACCGTAGTTGTTAGTTGTGGTCAAGTCAGGTAAGCTTATTAGGAGCTGAAGGAATGAGTATAAACACTGAAATGAGTTAGCATTTTAGCATTTACGCTTCCTTGTTTTAAAGTCAATGTATTTTTATGAATTGGTTTTTGGTAAGAAGCTTAAAATCATGTTTAAAGTTAAAAAAGTTCAAGATATTTAACCGTTTTGTTCTATGGCATGAAATATATCATTGAATACCACACTTGTTAATTTCAGGAGCTTATATGTGGCTCAAAAACAGCGGTTCTTCATCACGCCGAACACTAGTCTATATTTAGCTTAGTTGTCAGCCTTGGAATGTGTTTACGTTTTTTTAAAGCCGTGAATTTACTTTTTACTTTTTGCCATTTCATTAATGCTTCAAAAGTTATACAATTGTGTTAATATGAGTTAATATGTTAATGTTAATATGATAATGTTAATATGACTACTTAACAAAGGTGTAACTACAAAGTATATATTTTTTGCCACAGCGCTTATTTGCCAAAGTAATCTGAAATCTAATGATTTCTTCTAAGGAAACCAGTACGATGTTAACTTCCTGTGTTGGAATTAAAAAATATGTCATCCCTGGAGCTCACTTTTGACATTTATATTACCTCCTTGGCCAACAAACCCTAAACCGAAATGCATCAGAAAAAAACCTTTCAATTTCCCTGAATTCCCGTCAATTTAATTGGATAAATTGCAAAGAGGCATTTCATTTAATGGCATGCATCTGTTGAAAAGCTAAGGTCAGACTTCACAATGAAAGGCCACCAAATCCCCATTGCTGGTTTTCTTTTGACTCAGATAGCTTACAAGCTAATCTCATCAGCCCTGAGCTGTAATGCAATTAAATCTGATTCTCTTCCTCACCTGCACCCATTCATCCCCAGGATTTAGCCTGGCTCATTGCATAAGAATGATTAGGTGCCCTGGTCTCAGGCATCAAAATATTTTCCCTTTTAGCCGTGGCCCTTTTCAAAAGGCTACTACGATCCCAGCCTTACTCTGCGGTTCTGGAATATTTTGTGGTTATGTGGTTAAAATACTGCAGACACGCCTAACGTCTGGATCGTGATCAAACCGTATCTGGAGTTAACACAACATATGGAGACAGTGAGTCATATGAAATGGGAAAATCATGGGAATTTCACGTAAAAAATATGCCATATTTTAATCCATAAATTAAACACCTTGACATGACATCAGCACTACAAAATATGTTAAACCATGGGAGAACATGTTTTTTTCAATGTTGTGTCTGTCTGTTGGTCCGAATCGGATTAACAATATATAATGGATTGGCTCGACATCTTTGTAAAGATTTATTGTTTCCATAAGAACAATCCTAATGACTTTTCTTTCAGCACCACCATGTTGGGTTGAATGTCTAACCACTGTCAAATGGATCAATTGCAATATCACTATTGTTCAACTATTAGTCCAACACTTTATAATACTGCATATCAGGGCAATTGTAGGGACAAGGAGCCTGGGTAGGGGGTTGATATTTAGAGAAAAATAAATAGGGAAAAGTTACGAGAAAGCACTCCGAAATTCTCTTACATTCAAGTTATTAATTAACAAGAAAATAACTCTGAACATTTTTCTTTTTTTGTCAAGGAACCACATTGCTTTGCTTCTGCAATATTCAATCAACCTCATCACACCACAGGAAGTGCCACACTCATAGTAGTTCTTAGGCGTATGTGCTAAACATCAGCATGCTAGCGCTGCCATATATATACACATATATATATAGTAAACTTTAAATATGGTTAGCTTTAATACTTGATAACAGCATCACACCAACCTTACAATTATTCAAAACTGTTCCCAAATGAGTAATTCTGGCTTTGACAGTCTTTCATGTTTGAAGATGACAAGGTTAGATTTGAATAGAAGGAAGCTTGTTAGAGACCGACTATCAAGTAGGTAGTATTTAGAGCCAGTTATCTTCAGAATCAGATCAAAGCCATGTATTGGTCTTTACTATTTTATCATTGTTATTCCATTGAGAACTTTGACAATGAAAAGACCTTGCAGTAGTAGTGCTGATTAATTGACATAAGCCCTCCATGCAGAGTTCCTTCAAAGAGAGAAGTTCAGGGTCTCTCTAATTGAGACTGTGAGCACTGAGGAAAGGAGTTTCACGTTTTACTACACATTGTAATGCACACAGCTGTTAAAACATATTTCTCAGCATTGACTTTAGGCATTCAGTGACCCTTGAAGACTAGCAAGTATGAACAAAGCCATTAATGTGAGGAAGAGTTGGGTGGCTTGGTGGTTGGATGCTGTTTCTGTTATCCTGTATAGGCATAGCGTTTAATGATCTGACTCACACAGTGCTAATGTGTGTCCCGCACAGTGTGTGGCTGTGACCTCGCCCAGGGGGGGTTCTTCATGAAGAATGGAGACTATCTGTGCACGCTGGACTACCAACGCATGCACGGCACCCGCTGCAATGGCTGTGGGGACTTTGTGGAGGGGGAAGTGGTCACTGCCCTGGGCAAGACCTACCACCCTGCCTGCTTTGTCTGCACCATCTGCAAGTAAGACGATAAAGATGATAAACCACTGATCAACCCAGAGAATGAACTCTTTTGATTGTATTCTACTTACACCTATTTGGTCATTAGTGATGATTGTGATGGATTATTTTGTATAGACTATACATTGTTTTTTAAATGTATAATCCTATTCATTGTAACTTTGACAGGTATATCAGAAAGGTAAAGGGCTTGAAAGTATGTCAGCCTTTTCGGATTGAGTTAGCAATAAAAAACATATATTTGTTGTTCAGGTTCATTGTTTTCCAATATGTCTATCAATTCTAACCAAAATCCCCACACATACTACTTAGTGAAGTTATCTAGATCTTACAGTGTTGCAATTATGTGTAGCTTTCCAAAATAATAAAATGAAATTCTGCTCATCATCATGTGAAGTGACAGAGAGAATTCCCTGAGACAGTGTACCATGCTGTGTGTCACGTGTGTGTCATCAGATTATATTAAATATCCTCCTTAGGCGGTGAGTGTTGACACAGATCCACATCATGTCTCCCTGTCAACTACAAGCCATATCTCATAAACTCTTACACTTAGCATGGGGGCACAGCTCCTGTCTTGTTTACCAATTGTTAATGTCACCCCTCTTCCAGACGACCGTTCCCCGCCGGGGACAGGGTGACCTTCAACGGGAAGGACTGCTTGTGTCAGTACTGTGTGGAGCCAATGTCTCCGGGACCAAAGGACATCCTCGGCTCCAGCAGTAAGTCACCATTGTCTAATGAAAGATGCCCACAGGTTTAATGCACAGAAAGGTATTTGCTTTCACATGAGGGTACAGGTATTTTGTCTTCCACACATATTTTCATGCGTGGTATTTAATGTAGCTGTTGCCCAGTCACTTCAGCTGTGATATTTGCGCTGTGAAGAATAGTATTCAGGTTTAAATCAGGCAAGCTTGCCAACAATTTATTTAAAACTGCTATAAATCTGGATTCATTAACACAGTCATTACCAAGTGCTGTGCATCCAAACATTCAAACCTAAAAAAACATGACTTTGAATACTAGGGGAGGACAGTATGTTCGTTTTTTTTACTCTATTTTCAAAGGAAAATGCATTTAGTATCGGCCTTTCCATGTCCAAAGTTGCAATGTAATCTACAATTCAGTTTGGAATTAATTTAAATAAGCATAGGCCTATATACAAATAAAAACTAAATCAATTGCATTTAGCCGATTCAAAGATCTTAAAATGTAGGGCAGAATGTGTTTACAATGAGGTCCATCTAGAATATTTTCACTTAATAAAATAGTGCAGATAAAATAATATTTGTAATTGAAAATGTCACTAGTGATGAGTTTTCCAAGCTTTAAGATTAAGATAAGAGGTTTTTTTTACTTTTCTTTCTGAGTGTTCTGCCCAGATAAAGTAAATATCTGAAGCCAGCACCCGTTAGCTTAGCTTAGCAAACGTATTAAATACAACATTTCAATCAGTTAGTCTTTAAGGTGCTGGTTGGAAGATTTTGGTTAATTTGAAAAGAGCCAGGCTAGTTGTTTCCCGCAGCAATTAAGCTAATCTAATTAGCTTAGCTTCACTTAGTCACTTAGCTTGTATTAAGCTAAGTGACTGCTCGTTGTACCTTTATACAGTATTAAATGGACATACATAACATTGTCCTTCTCCTTTAAACTCTCAGTAAGATAAGGAATTTCCCAAATGTCAAACAATTCTTTTAAGAGAAAACAAGGTTAATGTTAAGGGGTAATTTGTGTATCCCAGTTGGTCAACAATTCCACTTAACTGTAGAGAAAAAACCTTGTAAGTAGCTCTCACACTACCCAGTTATGCCTAAGGACTGAATAATGTTGAGGTATCATTCATTCTCTTCTTTTCACAGCCTTGTCTTAGACCAGCCATATACCTTTATGATGAACACCAAGACATGTCCTTCTAAATCATGCATGTCCCTGCATTTCCTGTCCTCTGGCACAGCGAACTTGCAGCCCTCAAACCCCTCCTCTGATCACTTTCTTTCTTTCTTTTTCCACTCTTCCTCTTCCTATTCTTTCTCTATCACTCTCTTTCCCCCTACTGGTATCTCTGTTGGCGTTTGAAGAGCTTTTAGACAAGGTCACCTATGAATAAGGCATGCTGATTCTCCTCACGTCGTCATCGCAGGCGCAGCCTCGTTATGCCTTACGTTGTTATCATCCCCTGTGGTTGCAGTGGGCTCTGTGTTGCTTTCATCCTCTATTCATTAAAGAAGAGATGACAGGAAGATTGTAGGTTTAGAAACCAAGCCCTTGCACTTTTAAAGCCTCGGGATCCCACTTGGATATGGAGTGAGCTTTTAGAGCCATGGTGGGAGAGCAGTGGATGATAGAAAGAGGCAGCTGTCAGAACGTTGGTGGTAACACTCTGTCACCATCTAGTGTCTTGGGTCAGAACTGACAAGACGTCTCACTCCATGCTATTATAAGCATTTGTTGTGTAATACAAATCTTCAAGTGAGCATGTATTTGTTCTTTAGGCATTTCCTTGCTCTGATATTCTATTTTCTTGTAGTTGTTCACTTAAGAACACTTCATCTTTTTGAGCAACTTTTGCTGTTTTCCGCAGATTGCGCAGGATGTGGTCGAGACATTAAGAACGGACAGGCTCTTCTAGCATTGGACAAACAATGGCATCTGGGCTGCTTTAAGTGTAAGGCCTGCAACAAAGTGCTGACCGGGGAGTACATCAGCAAGTAAGCGGCTCACACTCACCTTAATAACAGGCCTTAGTAATGTTTACACCATATTCTCACACAGAATATGAAATGTCCTAGGACCTAAGTCCCTGCTGTTTATATTTGTCCGTCTCCTCTCAGGGATGGCGCCCCCTACTGTGAGAAGGACTACCAGATCCACTTTGGAGTTCAGTGTGAGGCGTGTCATCAGTTCATCACGGGGAAGGTGCTAGAGGTGAGACACACACACATCACATTCTTCAACTTCAACATCCCTCTGATGGTTGCTTAGGCCAGGCAAATGGACTTAATATTGCTCCTGGATTTCATATGAATCCTGCCTAAGGTATGTTACAGGAACATACACCCCCGAAAAAAATTAAGAGACCACCGCAGCATTATCAGTTTCTCTGGTTTTACTATTTAAAGGTATGTGTTAATATATATTGTATTCTATTGTTGTGTTGGAATTGAACAGATACTGGAATGGAATGGCTGCTATACATGTAGAGATTGAGATTGAAATACAATTGGAGTGGTCTCTTAATTAGTTTAGAGCTTAATGCTTCTAGTTGAATTTGAATTTGTAGGCATTACAATTACACCAGATACATTTAGGAAATACATTTCAGGTTTTAAATGAATATTTTATTGAGTGGATGTAGGTTCATAGTTGAAACAGTTTAGGAGTTTGTTGTAAAATCTAAATTCTGCTTCCCATACAGACAGGATGATGCCTCAGAGTGGAATTATGAAATGTAGTTTGATAAGCTGCAGTGTAATCCCTTGGCAACAGAGCCAAATAGACTCTTGACATGATGGTTTGCAACTAAAAGATTAATTCTTAGGATATATTTACATCTTTCTAGCTCTTCCTCAATACAAATGCTTGCACATACAAGCTTGCTTTGCCACAAGTGATATATGAATATTTAATAAAACACCTAATGTGGTGTGACATTTCAGAAGTTATCACTGCTCATTAATACTTCATGTAACGCGGCTGTTATGAAACTCTTTTTATTTAAGAGACTATATAAAGTGTTACAAACAACTCTGCTCACGGGTCTCTTGAACAAGAGCTGTGTGCCTGTTCTCCAGACACTGAGTTATGTGTCATTAAATGGTACCAAAATGTCACAGCAAGGCTTTTAGTAATCCAGCGCCAGGGCAGGACTTTGTGACAATAGGAAAAGGCCTAGGCATCTCACCACTGAGCTTCTGCCAATGGATCAGTGGTCCCACAGCCACAGCAGTCTGTCTAATAGTCTAATCGCTGACCCAAGACCAGGGTCAAATAGCGCTGAGCCATCGGTGGGTTTGTAGAGTCCTCTGGGAGGGTAATGTGGATGGCTTATTAATGCAGGGGCAATTAATCCAGATATTAAAAGTTGAGAGGAATACGGAAAGTATTGTAATTGCACACTACACATATAGCATAAGTACTTGTATTGATATTCTGTTTCACAATGTATGTGAAGAGAGTATTGGGAAAGAGCTTTGAAGTGCTCGCTATAGCCGCTTTGTCAAATGTTAAAATGCAAATACAAGGCGCTCCATATCTCTGAGTGGCCACTTCCTGCCTGAAATGTTACTGAGAGAGATTTGGGTATTTTATCACCCCCTGGTCAAAGTATCACATTGGTGTTATAAGGGTGCTCTCTGCATGCAAAGAGCCACTTCAATGCAGAGGAAATTCAGACGCTCCAGCCGTCAAGTCGTTTTATGCAGGTTATCACAAAGAGGAACATTCTCATATTGTAGGCAGGTTGGCTGTGTCAAACAGACATTATTACATTTCGTACAATTTTGAGGAACTTGTACATTACTTGAGTATTTAATTCAGTATAAATTGAATTCTCCATAATTGAATACTCGAAAAGAGGCTATTTTTTATATTTCGGAATATGTTTCTGCTGTTAATACTTTAGCAGAATTTTCAATGCAGGAGTTTAACTTGTAACGCAGTATTTTACTGTCTTCTTACTTAACCTAAATAAAGGATTTGAGTACTTCTTACTTCTCACATGAACTGTCGGAGAAAACATATTATACATTGTTATAATGTAACATAATATACATTAAACCTGCAGACCAATAAGAGGGGAACATATTCTCCAACAACTGCCCAGTTCAACTATCTCATCAGCAGTTGTTTTTGAAGGAAGTGAGAGCAGTTACCCAGGATCTGATGAAACCACCCCATTAGGTCTCAGAGGTGAAAGAGAGGTGTAGCTAAGAGCAGGTAAAGCACTGGATTTTTATCCTTTTAGACGCAGCTCCGCTTCGCTCATTTTACTGCGGGCTTCATTGATCTTCATTTTCCTGTGATGTCAAGTCTGTTTTGTGCGCTCTGTGTTTTCCAGGCCGGAGATAAGCACTACCACCCCAGCTGTGCGCGATGCAGCAGGTGCAATCAGATGTTCACAGAAGGAGAAGAGATGTATCTGCAAGGTGAGCAGGAATACGTGCTTTATCACAGCCACCTGAAAACCTTTGTTAACCGTTAAACAGAAACTGCAGAAGTGCTTGCTCCTTTAATATCTTGTTTTACTGTTATTAGTAAAAGGAGCCTATTCATATATTGACAGTATATAGATTTGTGACAAATTAAGGGAAAGTATCTATAAATATTATGTGTGTGCTGATACGCTGTACTGCTGAAACTGTGTATTGATCAGAAACTACTCAAGAGATGAACACAATTCATCAAAACGATTATTCATTTACTCAAACCACAAACATCTTTTATTTTTACCATCCATTTTGTTTAAACATTTAATAAAAAAGAAAGGACAAACAAGTCATTATTAATGATGGTGGAATTCATTCGGGTAATTTTGATTTGACGCCATTGCAGCTCTAGTGTGAAAATAATGATGTTTAGCATTTGATGACTTGATCCATGTTGCAAATTTCAATACAGACCATCTTTGCATAATACTTTTTTTCTTCAATGTGCTGTGTACCAGGTGTTTATTAGACATCCTTTAATAGGACTGTCAATAACCCATGTAACAACTCATTTGTCGCCCATCTGTATAGTTGGCAGAGTATGGAAATGCATACTAATAATGTGAATATACTGTAACCATATGTTACCCTGATTATATTTTCTCGCTTTCCATCTCCTCAGGATCAACGGTGTGGCATCCTGGCTGCAAGAACACCACCCGAACAGAGGAGAGACACAGAGAGCGGGTAGGAATTTGGGCCTCACTGACTCCATTGTCCCTGACTTTGTCCGGAATGAGAGGACCTTTCTATTCGTGTCTCCTGACACATGTTTTTCAGGAAAAGATAAAAAATGTGGAATATATAACGAGGGATTCCGCATTAGCTGTTCCAGTTCCAACAGTAAACTATCAAACCTAAACCTGTTGTGGTTCACATCATTTGCCTATTGAGGCGGTGTGTGTGTGTGTGTGTGTGTGTGTGTGTGTGTGTGTGTGTGTGTGTGTATTGTTCATGTGCATAATATTTACATGTCAAGCTTGATGTGTGTGTGAATTGTGAGTCGGGCTGGAGAGGCAGAACCCCTGTGTGATGTCCTGTGAACCCCCCTCTCCCTTCCTCCACAGCTATTGCCTCCGTCCCTCTTATTCCTCCAAAAAACAGAAAGGCAGGTACTGTATTCGCTATTGGCTATGAGATGGCATCATCCTGTGTTCCACCATGTACATAGGACACTGTGTGGCACTGTATGCTGCCATCTGCTGGAGACAGCCTGCAGTGCCCTCTTTGTGTCATATGAAGCCATTCAGTCTTGTCTTTCAACGCCTTATTCTAAGCTCATATCAAAATACATTAAACATAATTATGCACACATTTGAAAGAGCAGACACAATATCAATATGACTTCCAAATCCCCATTCTACCTGTGAGGTGAAAAGCTAATTTAAAGGGATAGTTTATTTTTTGAGATGTATGTGGTCCATTGTCAGTGTATGAAGGTGTGAAACACACATGACCACTGGCAAAGAACTTAAGCAAAACTTAATTTAGAAGCCTAAAAAAAGGCCAGAAAAAAACCATCAATATTATTGATTATATTTCCACTGCTTTACCCTGCTGACAGACAGTCCTTTCTGGCAGGTAACAGTAGTTATTACATCCATTTGTGCTCTCCATTGACAAAAACAATAATTCTACTACACAGATTACAGAGGTTTCTGGACCACTGCTGCCTCAAACGATTTGTGTAATTTGTGTAGTATTTTGAATTGAGTAAGTTCACTTCCGTGTTTAGTGTTGTAAAATGACAGTTTTTGTCAATGTAATCTAATGGCTTTGGCAAGAGCATAAATAACAGCTGCAGTTCAACCATCCACAGCATTATATTGCTAATAACTGTGTCAGTACTACTTTCTCCTTCAAAACTGGGCGCCTGCCAACCGCCATGCCCTTCAGGTAATACACTGACTGTGGATAAGTACCTTAAACAACACAATTGAGAAGAAAACCTGAGCTATCCCTTTAATTACGCTACATTCAGTCTCGCTGATGCCATTCAAACTGTTCATTTCAAATAAACTGGCATGACGTTTTCAAGGACATACAATCACTGTGCATAAAAGCGCTCATTCACTTTGCAAATTTGCAAATGAATGACCTAATCATGAAATGACATGTTAGTATTTCCAAGTACCTCATGTTATTAATGAAACTTAAATACAGGGTTTGCAATTCCCTCTCATCGCTCATACAATATAAAAGCCCAACAGTGAAATGTTGAAATGTTTTGGGTGATAATCACGGTGTGCAGATGGCAGGGGGCTGCGGATCATGGGAGACTGAATTCCTAACAGACTTGTTTCGACTAACCGCCACTTATGTGTTTTTCTCTACTTCTCACAGCCTACGAGGTCGTCATCGGAGAGTATTTGTTCCAGACCTGGTTCAAGCATACCTGGCTCACCGGGTCACACGATCTATGTAAGAAATATTATAGACCTACATCCAAATAGATGTAACAATCGTTTTACTCGTCAGAAATTCCCTTATTTAACAACATCCTATTTGACCTTGTCAGTTATAGAAATGTCCATAGTAGTAATCTCCCTCTACCCTTATGTGTGTATGCATGTTTGTTTTTATCTCCCTAGGCAAAAGTAGACAATGAGATCCTTGATTACCGAGACCTAGCTGCCATTCCAAAAGTCAAAGCCATTTATGACATTGAGCGCCCTGATCTTATTACGTATGAACCTTTGTACACCACCTCCCTGGATGAGAGAGACGAGAGACGAGAGAGTGTGGGAGAGGTAAACACTCAGGCCGCATGCACTTTTTCCTGCATGCATGGCGTCTTAATGCACAAACAGTACTGTGCATCAAGACAAATGTTCCTCTTATGATCCTCTGTTTTGTTGTTGGTTTAGTTTTTCTTCTGGTAAGACTTTTACAATACACAAAGAAAACCTTTTTATGCTGTTTTCAAAGCTTGTATGTATCACTGAACATCTGTGTCCCTCACAGCTCCACACTGCCAGGAGGGAGCGTTCTCCCTTGCCCGATGACAAGGTAAGATATGTCAACCTGTGCTGATGATGATAAATGTTCTTAAAGGAAAGAGCAGAGGTGAGCATCACATAAAAATGAGACCATGTGCATTGTAGCTACACAGCTTGCAAAATGTGAAAGATCAGCACATAGTGGTGTTTTTTTTTAATAGTGGCTAAGTGATATTTATCTGGCTGTCTGGGCTCTTTTGCCTCTATGGAGCAATGCTATATTAACTAGATTAATGATCTTGTTTTAAGAGAGGGTCTTTTCAACCGAGCTATAATTCAGACCTGTTTTATTCTTCCCAGTCCTCAAGGAACATGTCACCAACCCCATCTGGTGAGGTGAGGATATCACTTTATTTTAATTTTCCCCTGTGTGTGATGTACATGCAGTATATACACATTTGTATTAACACCAGCAGGTTGTGTAATAACCTGTGTGTGTGTGTGTGTGTGTGTGTGTGTGTGTGTGTGTGTGTGTGTGTGTGTGTGTGTGTGTGTGTGTGTGTCAGGGCTCTTACGACAGGAGGGAACGCATCCTCCAAAGGTCAACCAGTCAGGGCTCGATAGGATCACCAGTTTATAATCGCCATGGTTACACCCCCTGTCTGTCACGGTCTCCTCAGCATTTTCACAGGCCAGGTGAGTATGTGTTTGTGCGTCTGTGGGCAGATACGTGTATTGTTACATTGTTCATAAAAGAAAGAGGTTATAGTAAGGTGGATTGACGTGCTCATTACTATTCTGTTAAAACATTGTGGATGAGTTCACTGACCCTCCACCTTAAGGTTCTTGCTTCACTCCTTCTGATGTTCTTCTTTTAAGGGGAATTCCAACAAAATTACCTTTGGGTTATGTTAATTATTTTTGCCTTTAAATTAAGAGCAATCCATTCGTTTGCAGAATGATAACCTTAAAGTGAATTTTGCGCCTTTAACACCACAATTTCTCATGAGTTTAATATTCTTTCCTTTGAAAAGATTGGTTTTAAAGGGACAGTTTTGTAAATTTCCCCTCGAGTAAATTTGTTCTGATATTCTGATTTACACACAATACCAAAAATACATATTTTCCATTTTACCTGTAGTGCTATTTATCAATATAGATTGCTTTGGTGTAAGTTTCTGAGGGGAATATAAGTCGTAGAGATGCCTGCCTGCTCTTGACTTGCTAGTCTGTTGGGTTTTTCACATGATTCATTATTGGTGCTTTGAGCACCAAAAAAACGAATTGCCATATAGTTATTTCATATTCAAAATGAACCTCTACGTCTAATATCTCCAACAATAGGCTCCTCACACATTCACAATAAAGATTGATAAAGAACACAATAGGTAAGAGGAAAAATATGTGTTATGGCTTTTGGGTTTAGCTGTCTTTAAATGTAATATCTTTACATGTTTATTATTTGTTTTATCTTGAATACTCGCTATCTCTCACTTTGGGTGACTTTTATTTCCTCTTTTTGACTTTTGATTCCTGTATATCTTCCTTTTCTTTTGTTCCTCACCTTCTCACCTTCTATCTCCCCCCCACTATCCACTGCCTGGTTTGCTCCTGGGGTTTTTGTCCCTTGCCCCACACCCTCAATCCCTGCAGAGGCTCTGACAGGCATGCAGAAGCTCTGCTCCTCCTTGTGCAGTAACAGTGTGGGCTCCAGAAATAGTGACTCACGCCCCACCTCCCCTTTCAGACACCACTTCCTCCCCCATAGCCAAGGTAAGGGCCCCACTCCACTCCTCTCCGCTGCCCCCCCTAAGGCAACGCATCACCTCCATCCCCACCTGGGACGCCACCTCCCCGTCACTGCCCCATCTGTCATTCTGGATCCATCGCCATTTCTCATTAAAATGTATCTATCTTCCTGAATGATCATGCGGTCAAATCATTGATTATTCACTAACTCGCATGCCCTTCTTCTTCACCTTTGACTATCACAGCCTCCGCCAAAGTAGCTGACAGGCTCTTTGGGCTTGTGTTTTTGCAGTTTTGCATGCACTTGAGAGATACCACTAATCATAATCCAATATCCAAACTGACAGGTTTTTTTTTACAGAATGAATCTCTAGACCCCAGTAAACTGTAAAACTGAGATAGAAAAAGGTTCTGTAATATAAGTTTGCCGTTGCACACTGTGTGGAGTCATTAACTTCCTGACTGTGAACTCTTATCAAACTGTGAATTCACATTATATTTTAGACTAACATACATTATAGTTCATGAATCATTGCAGTGCATATCCCAATTCGCTATTATATAGTTTGTTCCGCTTTTGTGCTTTCCTTCATACACATAGCATACAGCTCCATTAACTGCATTTATCAAAAGCTACCAGAATGTCTCCCACCCGCTCAATATTACCTCCTCTGGTCCCATGTGCTGCGCCGCTCAGACTGTGGTTCCCCTTCAGTTTCCCTGCTTATGTTCTGTTCTTGGTTCTTCTCACTGGAGGCACTGACCCCCCGAGTGGCCGGAGCTCCCCCCTCCCGCTCAGGCCCGACAGCCGGCCGGTCACCCCGCCTCTCTCTCTGACCCCTAAACATTTCCACCTCCCAGGTAGGAGCTGGAGCGCACCCTGTCACTGCTCGTCCCTACTTTCTATTTATCTATCTTTCTATCTTTCTTTCTATCTATCTACCTATTTATCTATCTATCTATCTATATATCTATCTATCTATCTACCTACCTATCTATCTATCTATCTATCTACCTACCTATCTATCTATCTGTCATTATAATCCATTTGGGATCAGCTTTTGCTTTTTCCCCTCTTTCATTATGCTGGAAAAACGGTGATTGAGTGTAGTCCCTATGCATCGTCATCACTTTGTGTTTAAATAAATGTTTAATATGTGTGACAGAGTCACTGTTTGCTCAGAGAAATGACTTTTCTGTATGTATCTGAATGTTTTCAGATCAAGGGAGCAACATCTACAGAAAACCCCCCATCTATAAACAACACGGTACCTTTCCTCCTCTCGTACAGCCTGTGTGAAAAATGCCTGAGTACAAGTTCAAAGTAATACTTCTCGGTAGTGTAATGTTATTGAGCTGGGCTCTTGACAGAAAGTAATTTTGTTAATCAAGTCAAACTATGTATTCATTTGACTGTGTAGTCATCCCCAGTGTCAGTGTATGAGCACTGTTTGAAGTCTGTCTCCAATCCTCTTCTGTCTGACCTGTAGCTTGTTTTACACACTGCACTTTGTCTCTTAACAAGTCACAGTAGCAATTTTCTCAAAGCGAGATTATGTAACCTTTGCCGAGCTGTGACAATTTACAGGATAATGACTCCTCAATTTCATGAAGAGTCATTTGCAACCTGACTAAGAGTGAGAGGAATTACACCACAACCTCTTCTACTGTATATCCGTCGCTGATATAAAGTAATGTAACAATAGCACAAGTAGAGACGGTTCATAAAGTCGAAAAACTCATATTGTCAGTTACATTGACTTCATCTAACTGAAGTTTGCCCATTTTAGCTGACATCAGCCATCATTGTAATACAAAATACTTTATTATTATTTTTAAAATCCCAAGTTTGCTGTTGTGGCCGTCAGCCTTATTTTGCCAGCTACTGTTAGCATAGCATTTCACTACAATAATCATGAAACATCCTTAAAAACAAGGCTCTTATCCATCTGTGATTAGTAAAAGGCATTATCCAATATTCAGTGACTTGTTAGGAAAACATTTATTTGGCATACACCTGGACGACCGAGATTCCTGATCGTTAAGACCTCGATCGATGATCCGATGGTGCTGAAATGTTTATTTGTGGGTGAGACTTACTGAGACACTGATAGATCAGTTCCTATGGTTACAACCTAGATACAGATGCCATAGCACGTCAAAGCAAGTCTGCTGATGAGATCATCAGATCGGCCACCTTCCCCGCTGCCCATGCTCCATCTCCGGATGACAGCTCGCGGAGTGAGGGCGACCGCTGGCCTTGCTCTCTTGCTGTATTAGGTACAGTAGGCTCTGATGGGCATGCTTGCACTGCTATCTTCTGGTGGTGCAATAGACAACTCACCACAACCTAACTCTTGTTGTTTCACCCTTACAGCTGCCCCTCTAGCTTAACTGCATCCCCGCTTCAATCAGAGCTAACGCTTTTATTCTGGCATTACAGTATTTTCCTTTATTTGCCCGTTATTTGGTTTCTGTTGCTGCCATATTATTTTTCTGCTTGAGGTAGCATCAGTTTCACTATTTTTCGTTCACTTACTGCACATGATGGGTGCACTAGCTTTACACAGTAGTGCCACAAATGACTTGGACAGAGATAACTGAGACTGACTTCAAACTTGTCTGTCTGTTGTACATTGTGCTGTTCTGTCTACAAAATCTTGACATGAATGATGAAGTGTAAACCTCACGGCATGTCAGTCGAGCCAAATATTCCAATAAGTCACTCTGTTTGTCTGTCTCGTCAACTCTGTCTCACATTTGTGTTCTTCCGTCCACCTATTGCTCGTAAACTATGTGTGTTCCTCACTGCTCTACAGCCGAGTGAAGCAGACTCAGTGTTGTGTCTTTCTCTAAATGTGACCTGTGGATGAAGCATTTCATCTGGTTGTACTTGACATACAAGTACATGTGAAGCATGGTTTCCTCTAGTGTGTTTCAATGTGTGTGTATGTATATATGGTTTTTAAATATAAAATATTTTGGCCCGTTAACAACCATTGTAGGTTCAGAAGGGGGTAGACGATCCAGAGAAGAGGAGGAGGAAGACACCTTGAAAAAAAAGCAGATCCACGAGGAACATCTCAGCAAGGTCAGGGAGGTTGTCTTGAATCTTCAACTTAAAGGGGACCTATCATGCAAAATGCACTCTTGTACGTCTTTTATACATGAATATGTGTCCCCGGTGTGTCAGGGAACTCACCAAGTTTCAGAAAACACAACCCTCTCTCTTTTCCTCCATACCCAAATCTCTAAAAACGGGGCTGCAACGGAGCTGATACAGACTGATACGGATTTGAAAATGCTCTGACGTCAGGAACGAGGAGCTCCGCATATATGGCCAACTCTCCGCCTATCAGGGGAATGGGGGGTTGGGTACTTATGCCAGGCCTGTAAGTGGCGCTGTAGTCTGCCACAAAAGCAGCGAAGAAGACTGGACTGGTTGCCATGGTTGCCCTTCTGTTTATTCTCCGCTGTGGCTCTTTTTCTCCCTCCCCGAGGCAAGCGTTTGCTCCTGCTGCTGTATTTCAATGCAATTCCTCCCCGTCGAGGCAAGCGCTGTAATTCTCTCCGGTAGTCCACCAGCAGATGACAAACACCCACCTCTCCGCCTCTTCCAAGGAACGAGGGGACTGTGCGGCAGAGTTTCAGTTAGATTTTTTTTTCGCCGGTCAACATGTCCGTTAAAGTTTAAATCTTCCGGACAAAATTAGAAAAGTGCCGGTCAAAGGTCTTCTTTGTTATTTATTGAGCTTTAAAACAAATGAATAATGACTCTATATAATCATATAAGAATAAAACACGGAGGACGGAGATCTCTTTTTCTCCCCCTCTTCTGAGAGCCCAGCAGCTGATCTCAAAGCACGCCTTCCTGCAGGGGGGCGTGGTCAGCTGCAGCTCATTTGCATTAAAGCTATACGTCACAGAATCAGCCCCTGCAAAAACAGGGCTAGAAAGGGCAAATACTGTAGAGCGAAATGAGGCATGGCTAAAATGCAGGATCTGTTTGGTATTTTGAAAAAAAACTATATTTATATACTTTATATAGGTATGGCCCTACAATATATTGTTCAAATATAGCATGATAGGTCCACTTTAAGGCTATATTATTCAACATTTCCGAGATTTTTTTTTTTTACTTTATCCAAACAATTGCCATACTGTAGATGTTGTAAATCTCATAAATTTATGTTTATGCGTGAATGTACTATATTTATTAAATGTGTGTAAATGTGTGTTTGTGTAGATTCAGTCTGGTTTGGGAAAGCTCATTCTGAAGGAGGAGATGGAAAAAGATCAGATCAGGGAGCGTCACACACGTAGCCTCTCTGCTCAGCGCTACGACCCCAAACAGACCGACTGTGACGCAGGTAAAGCAGCCTCATCAGCTAATGTAGGCCTGAGTCGTCAGCAATATACTGTAATAACATGGTCTGTTCTATATAACACTTTCAGATGTTTGCATTTGTTTTACTGTAACATGTCTAGGTTATGGAATACCTTAATTTTGTGATTTGAATTTTGTGTTAATGTAAATGCTCCTGTTTTCAGTCATCATCTTTTGTATAAATTGGAACGTTATTTATGTTCCAGAACCAACTTCTCCAACCCAAACTAACTCTCTGCCTGGTTATGGAAGGAACGGGCTGCATCGGGTAAGGGTTCACTCACGCTTAAAAATATAGCTGTTGGTTATGTTTCAGAAACAGCTGCATACTAACGCTGTAAGAGGCACGTGAGTCCTAATGTTGATTTTTTTTTTTTTATCTGTGAGGAAAAGATAAGTTCAATTGTGTTTAGAGTACAGTATTGTGGTAAAAACTTTTATTTCACCTGTTCCTTAGTCATAAACACAGAATAGAAAACAATTTAGATCACTCTTAGCAAATGGATCATATATATATTTTTGACCCTCAGGGCTTCCGTAAAATGCAGAAAAATGACAAACAGAAAAAAATGTCTCACCTATAAGCAGAGGTTGCATGTTAAATCCATTGCATATTGTCTCCAATGCCAGAAACACTAATTATAAACGCATTTCTTCCCTAATACTTCTTAAATCTTATTCTGGTTCATAGTAAGCAACAAAATACCCATATGTTGATTTTGATGTACTGTTGTCTGTTTTCCCGCAGCCCCAGTCCACAGACTTCACCCAGTACAACAGCTACAGTGACATTTGTGGGGGAGGCAGAGGTGAGAGCTGCTACCAGAAGGCGGCAAACAAGCTAATCTCTTGCAAATGTCACCAGAGCTATTCAACATCAATATTCAGAAATCGATTGCTACGTGTACATAAATGGGACATGCATTTAAAAATATTTGCATAATGAGTCACACAATGTGTCATCAGGGAGAACAGTGTTGTAGAATGTAGCCTGACAGGGGATTTGACAGCAAAACCATTAACTGTGAGTCTCATTTTCTGTCCCATGTTGTCCTGCAGAGTTTCAGGTATGTCTCTCATCTGCTTTTTCACATGGCATGCTTCCTCACCTTGCATCATATATTTGCTTGCTCATGGGTTGCAAGAGGCACCTTGCCCTGAATTCACACTGCCCACTCCTGCTACATGCTTGCATCACTGTTGGAGTAAATGTCAACTACAGGGCATGCAGTGCAGTGATTTCAAATGCTAAAACATGCACTGCCCAGTAGCTGAGTCAGTGTATTGTAAATGCAGTGTGCAATCATAGCCTCATGTCTTATTTTGTGTGTTGTTTTCCAATGTTTTGACTCAAGCTAAACGTCACATTTTAAATATATGATTTTAAAAATTACATACACATTCAGAAAACATTCTCCATCTCAAATACTTCTTAAAAAACTGAACTGTATCCAAGCTCCATCCAGTGACCACTGCGCCCACAGTCATTAGTGGACACATTCATACCATTAACATACAGTCCCCTTCCACTATATTACATGTGTGTATGTTCTATTCTTTAGCACATTAAGGATGGCCGTGCAGCACTAACAAGGATGGACAGGGGAGTATCTATGCCTAATATGTTGGAACCAAAAGCAAGTATCTTCTCCTTTTTGCACTGATGACAACATTGTAATCTGCACTGAAATATACACTGAACAAAAATATAAACGCAACACTTTTGTTTTTGCTCCCATCTTTCATGAGATGAACTCAAAGATCTAAAACATTTTTTACATACATAT